CAATTATTCTTTCAGTGAATAATCCTCAAAAGAAAAGAGGCGTGGCTTCGAAAACTTTATAAAGAAAAGTTTCTCGTTACTCGAGCTCAAATTAAACAAATGATTGCAAATAAAAAAAAAAAAGAAGCTTCCCTTCCACCAGCGAGGGATTATCATTATCTCAACGCGCGTTGAAAAAGTTGAAAAACAACAATTTGATTGCAGAAAATTAACCAAAATTTTTATTTTATTAATCCCCCCTTTTAATTAACGACCCCCTTTAATCTTAAAATCTTCGCGATGTCTCCCAATTTTTTTCAAAAAACATGACAGAAAATTTCTCTCTCTCTCTCTCTCTCGCTCTCTCTCGCTCTCGAGGCGCGGTAAACACGCGCATTTTCATTTTTCAACAGAAAAAAACACGAAATATCTCGTTCGAGTCGAGGGATCGTAAACAAAGGAGGCTGAGTCGAGTTTTTTTCCGAAAAATACGATAACTCGGCCTTATCGTAGCCCCCTTCATTCCCTTCCAATCTGAAAAATTTAAAGCTTGAACTTGTAATGTTTCGCGCGGTCAACCTGTCGCCGGGATAATTCGCGAGCAAACGTTCGTTAACCGCGATTCGAAATTGCGGTTCGAAAATCTGCGTGTGTCCGTGCGTGCGTGTGTGGTGGTCGCATCGTTTCCAGGGAACGGAATAAACGGACACGCGAAATATTATTTATTAAAAAAAAAAAAAAAAAAGAAAAAAAAGAAAAAAAATATACGAACGATTTCGGTTTTTAATTAAACGGTGTTTGTTTCAGCCCAACGACGAATATTTGCCTGTTGACAGATTATTTTCGACGAACGATATTTTTCGTCCCGATTACACGCGCGTTTTTATTAACTATCCTATTTTTCCGAGCAGCTCTATTGTACTATTCATTTCAAGAATTTCGTGTTCGAGAGAATATTATTTCATTCCAGTAATGTTTTTCTTTTCCTTTTTCTTTTCTTTAAGGTAGGTCCAAGTTGGAAGAATTTCTTTGAATCTTTCTCTCTCTCTTTTTTTTTTCATTCGTGGTAAAGAGATGCAAAAAGGTGTATGCGAAAAAAAAAAAAAAAAGGTTCGATCCGGTTTTTTTTTCGAAAACCTGAGAGAGAGAGGTATACGAGATTCTCGAGACATCCTCGAGACGTGAGAGGAATCATGCATTGACCTTTCGTTCCTGCCATCCCCTATTTCATCCCCTAAATCCCACATCAGACCGCGGATGAAGCTTATCTACGCTCTTTTTCTTCTTTCCTCATCGGGAAAGAAGAAGTTGCACGCGAGGTGTTCATAAATCAGTCGATTACTTAGCTGTGTTTGAAAGCTTCTTGGAAAGAGAGAGAAAAAAAAAGGAAAAAGGAAAAGAAAAAGAAGAAGAAGAAGAAGAAAAAAAAAGAACTACGAACCGTGAATCCGTTTAAAGGAGAGAAGGGGAAAAAAGCTGCGTCGACGGGGAGTTATGAAGGCATATTCGTCTCGCGTCGACAAGATTTTCGCGCATAATTCTCCGCCTATGAATGAATATATTACGGAGAAAATATTAATAAAATAATTCCCCGTTGAAACGTCGAGCGTGTACAACAAAACTTGCAAGATTTATAGCTTTATATTTGTGAGAATAAATTCGATTCGAACGAATTATTCGATAAATCGTCTTGTCCATTGAAAATTATAAAATGAAATATTTATTTTGATTATTATTCGCCTGTTTCGCGTATATATTGTCGAAGAAATTTCAACATATTTATGAAAACAAATTGTATTTAACTAATTGAATGATAGAATTGAATTCTTTTCCACCGTGAGAAGAAAATGACAAAACATTGGAGTTCCCTGTGTATGAAGTAATCTCGGATGAAGTGTAATTAAAAAGAGGTTTTAGAATTCCACGATATATACCTGTGTATCTCCTCGCGTGATTTATATCTGTCGTACATGTGATAACATCTTATCTTATCTCTCACATTTTGTTATTCAATTTGAACAACTTTAATTTTCAATTTTTCAATTTTAACATACAAATTTCGTTGAAATCGCAAATCATTCCGATATTTCATCTTCCCTCTGTAATTTACAACAATTTTCTGTAAAAGGTTTCTCTCGAGAAAAGAATCGAACGACGTCAATACGTATTTCTCTGGTACACGTGTAAGAAGAGAATCCTCTTAAAGGTGAGAATTCCCCGTTAAAATAGGGGAAGAATTTTCCAACCTTGCTTTCGATTAGCATTTATTCACGATTAATTTTCTAAATTACTCGAATATTTTAAAAACTAACGAACAATTAGCAAAAAGATTAAAGTCTTTTTACAAATTTATCGAAAATATTGTTTCAAATCGAATAGGTTTATTTTCCCAACTTTTCGATATGTAAAATCCTTCCGTCCAAAATTTCCAAAGAAACGAGCAATTCCTTCGACAAGAAACAAAGAATTAATTATTCAACCCATTCAATTATTCAATCATTCCGATTCCCAAATCCGCATAATTAACCGAACAATCTGCAAACTGGCCAAGCGCCAATAGAACGCCTCCAGCCTTTCTTCTTCCTCTTCTTATTCTCCATTCTTTCCTTTTTTTCCAATTACGAGGAAGAGAAAAGAAAGTTGAAAAAGTTAGTCGATCGGAAAAGTTCGTTTTTTTTTTTTTTTTTTTTT